TTTTTTGAATTTGACTTTGATATGAATTCATGAGTTTATCACAAATGCAAGACCTGGCTCTTTCACTATCTTATTTTCACTTTTTTGATTTGAATATGACTAATTCTGCAGATTATGTTGCTTCTCTCTTTGTTTCGGTCCCGTAAGTCTTGCAGCGTAATGCAAAAATTGTTGCGAATGTATTCTGAAATCCTAAGCTTGAAAAATTCTCAAAATATTCTGTAGAAAAGCAACGGCAAGACTTTTAACTAGTCGAGAAATGTAAATTACAAAGCCAAGTACAAAACCACGCCTTCCAGCATTTTCAACGGCCAAAAATAAACAAAAATCACGATTTGCGCGCTTTCAACTGCTTCTACTACCGAAAGTTGCCTATACTATTTTGCATCCATCAACTGCTAAAAAAAATTAGGTACTCATCTTGTGCTATGAATCTTGTACTACGTTTTCTTGAAAGTGAAGAAGCCTATAGATTTTCAAAAAGATGCTGCACGAAACTTTGTAACTAGAACTTACCTGATATTCAAACTGTCATTAGCGCGTACTGATCATAGAGTCTAGCCAACTTTCTATTCAGGAGCAACTGCAACCCACAATATCGACACCGACATTGAAGTTGATGCGCAGGCGCAGTTCGAAAGGGTACAACAACAATTGAAAGAGGGTTTAGTAAAGGTGTGTTGAAGTCCTATATTGGCGTTTTTTTTGATGGTAGCTATTTTTGTGTTAGTTCTATAATTGTATCGAATTCAATTTTTAGGACGGCAAAACTCTGTACAAAGGTCAGGCAATGTACGGTGCTAAGGAAGCGAAAGATACAGCTAAGGGAAATGCTAGTAGTGGACTCAATAGGATAGGTGCGTTTATTTTATAGTATTTTCAATTCGTCTTCCTTTGGTTCTGTTTTTTTCGGTTGTGTATCTCTGAAACTTATTTTATAGGTCCCATTCGTGCTCCTCAGTTCGTTCGTCAGACGGTCCGTTGGGACTATGCGCCCGATATTTGCAAAGATTACAAAGAAACCGGTTTTTGTACATTCGGCGGTAAG